TTTAACATCTGTTTGAATCAACCAAAGACCATAAAAAACCAAGCCTAGTTTCTAATACCAAGAACTAGCATCAAAAGTCGTTTACAACGGCAGCCATAAAAATCAGAGAAACAGCCACATCTAAAAGAGCTAGAGAAGGTCCACAAGTACCCTTACCTCCTACACGGAAACCCAAACGCGCTGCTGAGCCAGTCGTACAACGTTACCCGTTAAGAAAAGAAGTACCTCCAAAACCTATACCTAGTCGACCTGCGAAAGCTGTTCGTCAATCTGAACCAAAATCTTCGAACTCAAAAGCCAGAAGAAACCCAATAATCATGCCTGACCCATCGAGTTCAAGCATAGAAGAACCGGCCCCTACAGGTCGGTCTTCACACAGAACCATGCCATTACCTGGTAATAAGGGAGCCCCGTTCTTCGATAAAGAGAAACCAATTGAGCTTCTACGTTTCTTAGACCAAATGGAAGATCTTTTCGCAGAATATGGTATTAATAGTGACGTGGAGAAAAAGAAGAAATTAGGAAAATATACGGATCAACGGACTGAATTCGAATGGAAAGCATTTAAAACATTCGAAGACGGCTCCTTTGACGAGTTTAAAAAGGCTCTAATAGCAGATTACCCTGATGCGCGAAATGCAGGAAAAGGGACTTTAACTGGACTAAGAGCTGTATGTAGAGAAAACAGTCGGCTAGCAGAAAAGAACTTGACAGAGTTGAAAATTTTAACTCGAAGTTTTAGGGCACAACAAAAATTACTCATGGCGCCGCCAGTACTGGTGAGCAACCGAGAGCTAGTTGTCATGTTCTTAGGCTGTCTGACAGATTCCTTTGCTGATCAAGTTAAGGCCAGTTTGAATATTGAACAAACTAGAGACCGAAAACAGAAAGGCAACGAGGATGAGACCACTGCTAGAAGAACTGAAGATCCATACGATATCATAGACATCATAGACATGGCAGAAACCATCGCTGGACGTCTTACTGGAGACTCCCGAGACCACCCAAGCAACGCGAGAGCTGTATCGACTGGTAGATCAGTTCAAGCGCGCGAACGGGAAATTAAAACGGAGCACGATGAATTCGAAGAATTGCGAAGTATTACTGCAACGTTCCTTGATCAAATTAAAGTAGATCAAAAACAGAATTCAGAACTTCGTAATATGGTACAAAACACGCAGATCGAAATGAAG